TCCGTTTCAGGTCCCTGCCACCCGGTTCAGAGGCAAGATCGTTGACAGCTAAGATCGGCCGGATTGTACACCATCAGGAACCATATTGTTGAACACCTCCTAAATAATAGGCTTTGTTTTTTTTGTGTTTATATATATATTTATTTATTTATATAATATATTAGTTTAAAATATTTAATTTATTAACATATAAATTTACTATTTTATTGCCATTTTTATTAAGGATATATTATCAAAATTCAAGTTTTAGTTTATTATTTAAATAAATAAATAAATATAGTTGATAGTATTAGGCCTCATTTGGCATGTCTTTTCGCATGGACTGTTGGCTTTTTAGAAGTCTGGCAGCCTGCATTTTGGTCTTTTTCTGTTTGATTGAAAAAAGATCTAACCACCAAAAGCCGCAGCCCTGAAAAGATGCATAAACCCCTTTTCAAGCTATTTTTGGGAAGTTTCAAATGGAGTTTTTCGCCTTTTATTTCAATTCATCATTGTGTGAAAAGACACACAGACAAATATGCCTTAACCAAATGATCTTCAAGCTGTTAAGATTTTGATGCAAAAATTCGCATGTCTTTTTACTATAGAAATCAAAACTTATAGAAGATGTTTCAAAAAAGACTTGTGAAACGACTCTTTTGAGCCCGATTATTAATCAAAATGGTTTTAGGTCCATGATTTTGCCATCCTACCATGGGTTAGGGTTAGCCCAAACCAAATGTTGAGCCTAAAAAAATATAAGCCTGGGCTCAATCCTATTATAAGGGCCTGGGATAGGCCAGGCTGAAATGATCCCACCTGTAAGGCTGTAACAGTCAGCCAAGGCTGTAGACATGTGCACACAGAACAATCATCTGATTGGAATCCCTTTTTTATATGGGTAAGTAAAGGTACAGAATGTCCATATGGTAGAAGATCTTATAGTCATAGACCAACCATTGGATGGGAATGTTCTTGTACAAGACAAGATCTAAAATCTTTTGTCGGTAGAATCTCATGCTCATCCATTCCGTTGATCCCACCCACGTTCCCATTTCCCCACTCAACGAAAAAGAGAAAGAAGATGAGAGATCCCAATCCAATGGAGATCCAGGTTCTAGCAAGCGTGTTCGTTATTACTTTGATCCGAGCTGCCATCTAGCTCCAGCGCACTCGTGTTGTCCTTGTCTTGTCTGATCGAAACAGTGAGTGACACCCCCCTCCCTATTTTTGTCATTCAAATCAAAAACTCGAAACCTCTTCTTCTCTACTGTCTCGCAATTGAATTCAACCAGTCTTCTTCATGTATCAAATCTCCAATCGAAATCCTAGAATACCACCATAAATGTAACCTGAAAGGGGAAAAAAGTAGAAACAGACAATTCTCCTGTACGTTAACCTTTCTCTTGCCTGCCCTCTGGCGTCTGCATTAACAGAGAGTGTTTAGAGAGGGAGAAAGTGATAGAGATGCCAAGCGTCGCTGTAAAGCTCTACAGCGTGTTCTTCAAACTCCTTCTGAAACATCGTTTGCAGAATAGAATACAGAGCACATTTAATGACAACAACGCTTTCGGCGTTACGTCTCGTCCTGAAGAAACTATCGCCGCTGCGAACCCTTCCTTCACCGACGGCGTCGCCACCAAAGACATCCACATAGATCCCTTCACCTCTCTCTCCGTTCGAATTTTCCTCCCCGATACCTGCCTCGCCGCCGCTGATTCTGAAAGGCAATCTCAATCTAGGGTTAGGGTTCGGAATTCTTATAGATCGCCAGATCGAGGTTACGCATCCGCGACTATCGACGCAAGGCACGACCTCTACCATCTTCGTCGTAACAGCTATGACCCTTCCGGGACAACCAAATCCGTATCTCCGACCGACCAGCTCCGCAGGAGCAGCTACGGTGGCAGCAGCGATACCGATGCCCTGATTTCGAAGCAGGAAAGTGGAACTTATAGAGGTTACTCCCCGTCCCTAGAAAATGACCACCAGACTTGTCGGAAGTTGCCTCTGATCTTGCAATTTCACGGTGGCGGGTTTGTTGCTGGTAGCAATGAGTCCGCGGCCAATGATTTCTTTTGTAGACGGATCGCTAAGTTGTGTGATGTGATTGTTATCGCCGTGGGCTATAGGCTTGCGCCAGAGAATCGTTATCCGGCTGCATTTGAGGATGGTCTCAAAGTCTTGAACTGGCTGGGGAAGCAGGCAAATCTGGCCGAGTGTAGTAAGTCTCTCGTGAACACACGCGGTTCCGGTGCTGGCGCTGGCGCTGGTGCTGGTGCTGATGCCAGGAGATCTGATGTTCATCGGCACATTGCTGATGCATTTGGAGCATCAATGGTGGAGCCTTGGTTGGCTGCTCATGGAGATCCCTCCAGGTTCCATTTTGTTCCGCCTTTCTTTTTCTGCATTAGATTTGAAGCTTTGATTAAAATTCCATGCATTTGCTTTAATGAATAAATTGATTTATCATTTGAAGATTTGACGCCCATTTTCTTTGCATTTATGGAGAATAAATTGATTATCCAAGTTGGTTTGGATTGTTATAATTGCTTTCGTTTCTTTTCTAATCGTCTGGAATAAAGTTCACGAATAAATGCTTATTCCAGTTTCAATTTATCATTTCTGTCAATTAAACTGTGCTTTCACAGAGAATTAATAATTGCTTCCATTAAACCTTGCAGTTATTAAAATGAGATCCTATTCATCCAACAGCTTTTCAACTTGTATGCCTTTTATATGGAGGAAAGTGAATCTGTAAATGATAAATTTCTGCAAATTAAACTTTACCTTATATATATCAAGAGGACTCAGGGAACTGCAGCAATATCTAAGTAACATTATTTTCTATATTCTAAAATGTACTTGTACCGAATGATGTTTTGACATTGCTACCCATGGCAATAATCTTTCCATCATAAATCAGCAAAGAACTATGGACTAACCTATTTTGGTTCAAGCGTTAATGGGCACCTATGTTTACTAGATATGATATGTTCTCTGATAGACAGCTTTTATTATTTTGATAAATAAGAAATCTATTGGAACATGTGAGATAGATGAAGATGCGCACAAAGTGGTAATGATTCCAAGTGCTACATTCTGGAATACTTAAGAAATAGAAGTTGGGGCAGGGCCAGGTTACACTGTTACAGTTTTTTCTCCTTGGGTTGAGGAGTGTGTAGATCCTGTTCCATGTCAAGCTAAAAATATAGGTCTTTATGTTGTGCGCAAGGGATGGTCTTTTTGCAGTTGATATCTGCAATAAAATACTAAGCATCACTGGTTCTTTATTTCTCAGAGCCAGGGAACCGGTAGTTCAGGTCATGAGTAAATTGTATTATGGGATGGTCTTTTTTCTTTTCCCATTGTATTTTTTTTTTGATAAGTAAAAGAAAAATTTTATAAGCATCTATAGAATGTGTTCCATGAGTTCGGTTATAGTAAGATGTTAATTAAGCTTATCCTGTAGGTTGTGTTGGTGATTAAGTAGCTTCTGTAATATTGCTTATCAGGCTTGAATGGGAAGAGGTAGTGGTTAAGAAGAAGACTTTTTTTTTTTTATTGCCAACAGAAAACAGATTTAATTACTTAAACATTTGTTGTCTCCTAAACCCTTGTTTTGCTACTGCATCAGCCTTGCTGTTGGCTGATCCTTGTACCCATTGTACTTCCAATTGCATGTCTTTATAATGCCAGCCAAACCATCTTATTTCATTTCTGTAGATCCAATTTGCTGCAGCGCTCTTCAATGACCAGCTTATAATTACTTTTGAACCTTTTGCATCATAACCACTGCTGCCTTTAGCTCCACCCTGATGGAATCTCCTTACCCTATCAGACCTGAATACATAGAAAGTCCAACTTTCGTATCTTATTACCCCTCCTATCCCAGATGGATCTGGATTTCCCATGCTGTTTCCATCAAAGTTCAGCTTAAGAGTTTTGCAGAGATAGGAAATCAATATTCAAATGTTTGTTAATTTAGGCCCTGTTTAGCGGTACTTTTTAAAGTGCTTTTCGTACTTTCAAAAGTATGAAAGTATGAAAAGTACCGGAATGTGTTTGTTTGGGGTGTCTTTTACTTTTAAAAAACACGAAGTAAAAGTACAAAAAACACAAAAAGAACAATGTTAGCTTTTGATACTTTGTGATTTTTGGTCCTTTAACATATTTTATACTTTCTAAGACGTTTACATGGTCAAGCCTCCAATCTAGATCCATTTGCTCTAAACTGGATAGATTCCTGTTCTCTTTGGATTGGGAAGAACATTGGGGAACGGCTTCTAGAGCTCTCCCAAGGATGACCTCAGATCACTGGCCCATAGTATTATGTAAGGAGGAAAGAAGGTGTGGAGGTCYTACCCCCTTTAGATTTGAAAATATGTGGTTACGTCATCCAGGGTTTACTAACAAAGTGAGGGAATGGTGGCATGACTGTAACCCACTGGTGGATTGGGAGGGAATGAGATTTCATAAGAAATTACAATTCTTGAAAGCAAGAATYAAGGAGTGGAACTTGATGGAGTTTGGGAGGATAGAAGAAAGAAAGGGAGATTTGATGGATAAGATTGAAAGTCTTGACTCTAAAGAAGAAAGAGGAGAATTTGGAGAGGAAGACAATGATCTCAGGAGAGATTTGAGAAGACAGCTAGAGGATTGTCTGCACAAGGAGGAAATTAGTTGGAGGCAAAAATCTCRRTGTAAGYGGYTGCAAGAGGGAGACAGAAACACTAGGTATTTCCATTCTCTAGCAGATGGCAGGAGAAGGAAGAACTTTATCTCCAAATTGGTAGTAGATGGAGT